AATTTTAACCACAAAAATGGACATAGCTAAGTATTTTAAGGAAAATGAGTGCATTTTTAGTCATTTTTGAGAAACTTTTATTTTCGGAGATTTGTTCAGGAAATTATAGGTATAGTATTTCACTGTGATCAAAAGTTGGCAAACCCCAAAAGTATATTTTTTCTTAATTTTAACAACAAAAATGGACATAGCTAAGTATTTTAAGGAAAATGAGTGCATTTTTAGTAATTTTTGAGAAACTTTTATTTTCGGAGATTTGTTCGGGAAATTATAGGTATAGGATTTCACTGTGATCAAAAGTTGACAAACCCAAAAAGTATATTTTTTCTGAATTTTAACCACAAAAAATGGACATAGCTACAAACACACACAAACGCACGCATACAGACACACGCAGACACAGACACACACAGACAGACACATACACAAACATTCTCCATCTGCTTTTACCTTAACAGTGAGCAGCATGGACAGAAACTTCTTCCTGTCTCCAATCAACATGGCGTTGCTGATCAGTGGCACTACCTCTTTGACTGCATCCTCGATGGGAACTGGAGGGATGTTTTCTCCTCCTGCTGTGATGATCAGCTCTGAAATTAAAACACAGATTTAAGTAAGAATAAATACTAGAAAAGACAATACTCCAATAACTGACAAAGGGCTGCAAAAAAAAAAAAACGAACATGAATCTGAGAGGAAATAATACCTTTAATTCTTCCGGTGATGTACAGAAATCCATTCTTGTCTTGTTTGCCAAGGTCACCTGAGAGCAGCCAACCATCTGCATCCAGAGCCTCTTCTGTCTTATCAGGCATGTTGAGGTAACCCATGAAGACATGTCGACCCCAGAAGCAAATTTCACCGATTCCGTCCTGGTCTGGCTGGTGAAACTTTGTTTTGCACGCTACAATCTCTTTACCACAGCTGTGAGAAAGTGTGTTCTTGGTTATTTCCGAAGCATAGGTTTTTTTTTAATAACATGCACCTTTAGTACTATATAACTTTTTTCCCCAATTTAATAAGTAAAAACCTCACCTGGTAAGTCTAAAGGCATTGTGAAGGGAGATAGTATGAGGTCCGGAACATTCACTCATACCGTACAGCTCGTACAGTGGGATATCCAGACTGAGGAAGAACTCCAGGGTGTCTTTGGTGATGGGTGCAGCCCCTGTGTAGCACTTTTTGCAGCGGTCCAAGCCCAGAGCATTACGCACCTTTTTAAATACAAGCTTTTTGGCAACTTGGTAGCTGAGAGGTTTGCGAGTAACAGATCCATTTCTGAAGAAAATAAAAGTTTGCTTATCAGACTTGACCAAATACAGGTATGGTCAAAATCTTCAAAGTATGAAGATTTTCTTGTATGAAATTACTTTGTTACTTTAACATGTTTCTGACAACTTGTGAAGCCCTGTTTTTATTTAACTTTTTCAGGGTTTCTTAAAATTCTTCTGGATTTTAGCATGAATGAAATTGTATTACATTAAGGATCCACCTTGTAAGCTTTTTTAAGATTTAAGGGAACAATTGTGGAGACAGCTCTAACCCTTCCAAATCCAAATAAAGCAATAATTTCATGGCGTCCACCTACTGGTTCATTTTGGCGAGATTTGTTTGAAGACCAACATCTTTAGCCCAAGCAGCCACTTTCCTGCGCACTGTTGAAGATTTTGCTGCCACTGATCTCATCCTTTCCTGCATCTTTTCCCAGACACGTGGGACACCCATGAAGACAGTGGGACGAGCCTCCTTCAAGGTGTTGACTAAAGAACCCTAATGAAGAGAGAGAGAGAAAAATCCTTTTGACAACCATTGAACATAACCGTGTCAATAGTTGGGAGAGGGGCGATGTTTCTCTGGACTATCATTGTTATGTGTCAAAACACAAGTACCATCTTACCTTGAGGGCATCTGGATCAGCAAAATAAGTTACTCCTCCGACCTTCATGGTGCTCCAGATGTCCACCATCTGAGCTGCAATGTGGCTCAGGGGCAGGTAGCTCACTACCACCTCCTGAGCCTCAGTGGCTTCTGTCAACTTTACATGGCGGCTGATGGAATGTGTGGTCCATGTCACCTGAAGGAGAATAAACGTTTTAATTAAAAAAAAAAGTTAGACGTTATTAAAGAAAAGGCTAATGGAGAAAAGGCTGAATTGACAAAACAATGGCAAGTACACAAAAAACATGTTGAAAGGCAGCATACAAATTAAAAACAAAACAGTCACAGGAGTAAGGAAATATTATTGGAGAGCATTCGGAAGTCGAGCTGGTGCGATTTTTTATTAAATGGAGACTTTTCCATTGCTTGTAGGGGGAAATAATCTGATATTCTCTTCATGTCAATTTGGTTTTAGGGTTTAGAGAAGTTTTAATTTGTAATTATGTCCATACTGACAGAGAGGTGAAAGCACAACAAGATGAGATGGTTGCACACAGGTTAGACGGTGGTAGAAAACAAAACACTGTGACTTACATTGTCATGGCTCAGCATGACTCCTTTGGGTTGGCCTGTTGTTCCTGATGTGTAGATGAGGGTACAGCACTGGTTTGGTTTCTGGCTGGAGAGGATGGCATCAAGGGGAGCATCAGGCTCATTACGCCCCAGGTCCATAAACTCTGCCCACTGTGGTGCAAAAAAAAGAAACAAATAAAAAATCTGTAATCTTATGCACTTTAAACCAAGGTATGAATTGTTTTCTTTTCCCTAATATTTAAACTCACCGTATACAGATTTGGTCTCTTTTCTTTGAGTGCATCTTTGTACTGGATAATGGCTTTCAAGTGGGGCAGCTTGTCTTCAATCTGTGAAAACAAAACAAGCCAATGGTCAATGAGGAAGTTGATGCTACACACTACAACACACTAGAGCTCCAAACCACACTGTTCTGTGGTTGAGGAAAACAGCCACACTAATGTGCAGAGCATCACTAATTGTCTTTAGCCAACTGAATCACCTAAAGTAGACGACAAGATCGTGTTTTAAATATCTATTGCTGGTCTCACCTGCAGAATTTTCTCCAGCTGTTTGTGGTTTTCCACCACAATTACATTGGCCTTGCAGTTTTCTGCTACATACTGGCATGCCTCAGGAGAGTTGGTGGTGTAGATGCCCACAGCAAATCCACTGTAACAAACACAGCAGTAAAAGTCACAGAGTTAATTTTCTATTCAAACCTTCAAACAGTTCATCCAGGACTGGATGTGTTTCCTAATTCCCTGTCCAGCTGTGACAGTAAAGCTGGGCTGTGTAAAACACTGTTGACAAATCATATAAAGATGAAGGTGAAACAGACTCACCCGGCATAAATGGCTCCGATGTCAGCCATGAACCACTCTGCTGAGTTGAAGCCCAGGATGCAAACACCGTGGTAACGTTCCAAACCAAGCTATAACAAAAGAAAAAATGTAAATTACCATTTAGAAAATATACTGTACGTCAACCAGCTCTAACCTACAGTATGAGATTCAGTGAGGTTTTGGTGTCAGTGTGTACACTGTACACAGAGGTAAATGTGAATGCATCACGCATGGCCAGATCTCTATGGTGACCAACAGTTTTGACTTTCATTAGAAACAATGCTATTTTCTGTCTCGAGCAGCCTCACAGTCTGGCTGACATTTAAATCTGACGCCTTTGCACTGTTATTTCATTTCGTTCTCTGGTTTGCAAGTATGCAAGTCAACATTTATTCTTTTAGACCACAATAGGATGTAATCAACATATTCATATATGTTGTGGATGTAGGAAAAAAATGATATTCATGAACCTACTTTGAGGAAGCTCTTGGCAGCAATGCGACAGTTCTGGTGGTACTCTCTGTAGTTGAGTCTCTTCTGTTGGTCGCCATCCTTCCAAACCAGTGCTGTGAAGTCTCCAAATTTGTCTACAGCTGATGTGAACAACTGGTCAACGGTCAATGGAGTCTCGGCAGCGAGCCCGGAATCTTCCATTCTCAATTTCACCTCTCCGTCTTCCTGTGAAGTCCACAGTCTCAAGTCTGATGCTGCAGGAACTGACAGGGAGTTTGGGCGCTGGGCATTAACTGAAATATGTGAGAGAAGCATTGATAAAAACGAATGAGCTTTTTTGTTCTCCAAGTTTTAAAGACTTGTACAGATCTACAAAGAACTACAATAATCCTAGTGGTTAAGAGGAACAAACACATTTTGAAACTCAACAGTTAACAAAGGATCGAGTTTAAAACATGCCCCTTCAGCCATTTGTATATGAAAATGTGACTTATAAAAGGAAAAAAAATGTTTAACCACGAATAAGGCCATAAACAGTGACCTTCAGTAGAATCCTTATTTGTACTGTAAACATATGCTACTGTTTCTCTAAAACACTAAAACATGACTTTAAATATTTGTACATCCTGCAGAATTAAAAGCAGACCTTTACTTTATGGCTTTATGAACGCATGAAGGAAGTAAGTCGGACTACCGTGTGTGTTTGTCCTATTCATTGGTAACATATTTTCCATATACCCATTTTTTTCTAATGTAAACCTAACATGTCTGTGCCACTGATCAGACAGATAAATAAAGTTTGTACACAGTAGTCTTTTTATGAGGTCTTGGTCCTAAGACATTTGATCTGTAACAACTGTTACTATATTGTGAAGTGTGTGTTCAGTGTGTCAGGGTTTTTCTTCCGCGGCTGAAGCAGGAAGGAAAGGCAGCAGAGCATGTGGAAAAAAACAGGACAAAGAAAAGTCATGATGAAGCACTGCAACAGCTTCCTGAGGAAAACCATCAGGATAACTGGTGTGGACTGGAACCAACCCAGCAACACAATAATTGTGCCCAATAGTTACGTGTCCAAATCTTCACTCTTTAATTTCATTACAACGCTGTTGCCCTTTCCCCGACAATGAAATCCCTCAAGACTCAGATAAAAAAAAAATTAGTCCAAACACTTGTTTTCTCTGGCTCTCACCTGTTTCCGTATTCAATACTGTGGTCTTAGTGCTGCTGCTCATGACTTCATTATGCGCAACATTCTCTTCCTCTCTTTCCCCGGTGGACTCTTCCTCTGAAGATTCACTACGTAAACAAGTGGAAAAAAAGATGTCACTTAATCAGGAAATTACCAAGGGAAAGACCCTGACTACAGTGGAACTAATCCATTAACTGTATAAACAACTATCTATTAAACACTAAATGGAAGTTTTATTTACACGTGGTTGACTTGAAGCATTTCTTTAAATGTCTAAAAGGCAAAAAAAAAAAAATCAAGAATAATGGCAATTTTATGGATTAGAAAAAAAACATTATCCTAATTCGAAAAAAATATTTCTATTACACACATTTCTATTTTCCAGTCATGGACACATGTCAAACTGGGGTTAGGTTGTTTCTCTACAAGTATTTCCAAGGACATACTTTGCTGTGTCCACATTTCCATCGAGAGAGGCTCCACAGGATGCCTCCACAAGGCCGTTAGCTCTGGGATGTTCTATCACCACTCCATCAGTGCTGGACTCACACACGGTCACTGCAGGGACAAGCGTGTCAGCGATCGTTAGTTATATTTGACAAGAACATCAATTGGCTCAGGGTCGCTGTCAAGAAGGAGGAGCAGCGTCAAATACTGTGCTTAACTATGCTCCACTAATCCAGTAAACTGGATCACTGATGATGAATTAATGATTGGACAACATCCACAAAAAACAATGTTGTTTATATTTTTCATTACAAAATATCAATAATAAAAAAAAAATTTGGTCCATAAATAATAACTTCTTCTACCATGTGATCTGTTGAGGATCATGGGGCAAGAGTGTAAAATCCAGAAAACCATTGGGGGGGGGAGTGACTACTGGTCTCATTGTGAAAGTAACATCAACATGCGACAGCGGGTCGCTTGCAGTTGTCGCAAGACTCACACCAAGCTGTAAGATGAACTCAGGATTTTCTTTCCTGCACCTGTACTTAAAGGTTATGTTTCATCCTTCTTATGTGGGGCTTTAAACACTGCCGGCATATTGTGACTAGTAACACAGTCATTATACTCACTACGTTAAGCTTCACCTCATCTTTTATTAGGTTTTATGGCCAACTTTATGAGCTGCTGGGTAAATATCTTCTGTACATAAACTGCACCTGCCCTGTTCAAAATGATGGACAGTCTTGTGTCAAAATGGACATTTCGCCAAGAATAATACACTCGTAGAAATATTGACTTCAGTCCTTGAAATTGTTTTTACTTTCGCATTAGTGATTTCTTTAAAGTGAGATCAATGTTTTGTTTTTTTTTAAATAATGAGATGCATAACAACAGGCAGAGTCAGAAGGCCATTACAACTATAGGAAACAACGTCAAAGCCTCCCTTACAATACAACATCACCTCTGTTAAAGCCACACCTTCGTGACATTCTGTCCCTTCCTCCCTCCCTCTCACATTCCAGCTGCTGATGTTGCATGCACTTCTCTTTGGTGAATCACAAATCTGAATTGTTTTTTTTAAGCAGAATGAAAGTCAAAACAACAGCTTTGTCTGCCTGTTGTGGCAGTGCAGAAACATAATTCCACTGTCAGCCACAATTAGTCAAGTGAAGAGAAACAGGCTCTGTCAAGGCCAAAAAGCCCTAACCCATTGGATATAAATAGCAATCATGTGGCCTATCATGACCCATAGTCAGAGATGTTAACAAAAAAAAATCAGTTCTAGTCAAGTCATGGGGAAAACAGCCAGCTGATCCCAAGAAGGTGTCAGCAGCTCATTACAACCCAGAAAGACAGACATGTCAATGTGATCTAAGTGCTGCTCACGTGGACATACGCTCGTCTGCAGCTGCAGATTCTTTACATAGACGGCTGTTCATTTGTTTAGCCTTACAAGTGGTATACCCTGAAAGACGGTTTCAGTTTGTCCTGTAAGGCTGTGCCATTGGGATCCAAGGGGGGCAGTACAGTAAGAAGTGACCCTAAAGACGCTGGGTCACTATCACATTCATTTCTGCTCAACAAAATGGAATTAGGAAATCATAATTCTTGTCAAAATTCTATTTTCTATTTGTCCAAAATAACGAGAAGGCTTCTCATAAGCTTCGGTTTAGCTTTCTTTTCATGTGGCCACAAAACTAATGCCAAATGATGACATATCTGAAGGATTAATCATTTCATAAACTTTTAAAAACCCCTTACTGCATTCGTGCAATCACAGCAGGATTAAGATTAAGTACTAGTGACAGATTAGTCCTCAGACTAGACTTGATGAATTAAAGACTAACACATTGCTTGCAATCAGGAAATATGTTAATACACCTGTTAGACTGAACACCCAACCCTGCCTCTCCTTTTAGCTTTGGCTCACTTTTCTCACACTGCGTCCAAAATATGACAGCAGACTTCATTTGATTGTCTGATACAACACAACTGAGAAACTGATTCAGACTACTGCAATGTAATTCTTCTGCACCAGCTGCATCACTGCACAGCTGCATCACTGCACAGCTGCTGTCCCTATTGGATCCAAAAAGGCTGAATTCAAGCCTGGGCGTGATCTAGACATGGACATGATTTGTGAAATATCCAACATTCAAACCTTAAGCACCTAAGTTAAGAAAATAACACTAGCCCCAGTCCCTATTGGATCCAAAAAGGCTGAATTCAAGCCTGGGCGTGATCTAGACATGGACATGATTTGTGAAATATCCAACATTCAAACCTTAAGCACCTAAGTTAACAAAATAACACTAGCCCCAGCCTCACAGAATTATAGCATATTACAAAACTACAATGACTTGACAGAACATCTACAAATCGCCTCACAGAATTATAGCATATTACAAATCTACAATGACCTGACAGAACATCTACAAATCAACAAACAATGGCGAGATTTGTCACCTGATAAAGTTTGATTCTGTGCAGAGGAAATGAAAAACAGCCCTCATCTCAAAAGGGAGTAAATTGTACACACTCATCCATCACCTTGATTTTAAATGTGATGGTGTTTTATTAAGTCATATTTAACAGCCCCTTTAAAAGGTAATTTACTGGCAGTAGCAAATATGTGATGATAAGGCATTTAAAGCTGAAGGGATGGGAGAGGGTGGAGCTCATCTGATGAATTAATCCACAGAATACTCAAACATATTGTATAAAATCCCATCCTTTAGTACGAGCCCAGGCAACATTGCAAAAAAAATGTTAAAATGTAGTAGGGTTGAAAAAGCTATTTGAAACATTTGCTGTCACCAGGCAAATTTGTACATATCTGTTGGTTGGGTTACACCCAAAGCCAGCAGCTCGCCTTGTATTCATCAAGTAAATACTGAGACACAGAATATTGAGCTTTTTTACATTAAAACTCTGCTTGTAATATATTTAAATAATGATAAACTGCACATTTACGTATTCATTTAATGATAATGTTTAGACTAAATCACACTCAAAGATACTATAATAGCAGAAGCAAAGGCCTCGTTGGCATAAACGCAATCAAATATGGTATTCACATACGTCAGACAAGAATGACTATATAAAATTTACAAATGAATGTTGTAAAAATTCGGATTTAATCCGACTTTAAATTTGAAATTCCATTTGCTATTCCGCTGAAGCTATAACACTCAAATAAATCGAGAATTAAAATGGGATTAAAATACTCACACTGCATATCTACGAAGTTCTTCTTCCCCCTGCTGGTTTATTTTCTGTTATGAAAATATAGTCACAGTTCCTGAACCGGTTGTGCAAAATGCTGCCGTAGATTTAAATCGTCAGAGTTAGCATCCACTACGCGCCCAGAGCTTCTGTGTACAGGTTTCAAACCATTCATTTGCTAACGACTGCCGGCCTTTCAGTATCTCCCTCCCCCAAACGTAACCCCACCCTGAATTCCCCTTCCCCACACGAACGCATACACTGACACCTGATTGGTCGAAACTGCTCACACCACAACATGGTACTCCATATATGGTGACACAGCCAAAATGGCGGAGAAGACGCGTGTGTATGATGACGTTTTTTCCCCTTCCTCGCTGTGTATTTGAACTCGATGCGGAACTTTCTCAAGGAACAAGTTTTTCAAGTACATCGAGATTTTCAAAGTCACAACAATGCGACAAAACTAGTGAGATACAACGAAACAAGTATCATTGACCAGCGTTACACAGACAGTATAGTAGTGTAGAATTATATACAGTAAAGTTAATGACAAATTACAATTTTTTTTATATTGATGCGATAGTTATTTTTAACGGCATGTCTGGAAATTTAAACCTATTCTGTTTACGTTTTTCCTCAGCATGGAGTCACAATTTTATTTCAAAAAAGGAAAATGAAGACTCTAAATAATAATTTAAACCGGTGTTTCGGCTTAATTGTGCGGAGTTGATTTTTAATTCCAAACTTTTCAAAATGAAGGCACTATATATTATTATTATATGTGTCGAGCTACACAGTCTGTTTTTGGTAAATAAAAAATAATAATTTACTTATGGAGGTTTTTTGAACTGCATTCAAACTGTTATGTGCCATTTAGAAGATGAAATCATTAACCCATTCATTTATGTATTCATTCATTCATTTTGGATCCACACTACAATGAGCTGTTTTCTCATGACAGATGATGCTGTCAAACTAAAGGCCCCATCCCCCATCACTCCCCAGCACACTCACCACAGCAGCTGAGGTTACAGTGGACTGGGTTTTCTGTAGCAGGTTCTTCAGGTACTTCTTTTACATTTTGTAGAGACATCAACATCCTGTGACTTAAATAAAAAAAATATTGAAACACTAACTCCATTTTCAGTCAACAGTTTTCAAACAAAAGTATGTATTTAATGTAAGCATGATACTGTACGTTAAGAAAACCAGAAGAATTAGGTACTATAATTTGTAAATGTCCTTTGATCTTTGTACAATGCTTTCAAAATAACAAAACTAACAAAATAAGGTAAATAATAAATCAGGTAAGTTTAAAATTATTTTCTGAGCAAAATAATTAGGATTGATATTTGGTTCAAAATGCCTCCCTGTTCTGAACGACTGGTTTCTTTGCTTTTACCTTTAAATGGCAATGAGTCAGTGTGTGTTTTCCCCCACCTGTTCTACAATGTGGGGTTAGACCAGGAGGGCTTCCCATAATAAGGTGAGAAATGGCTGCCAGTACATTCAAGGAATCTGATGGCCTCTTGCACAATGTTTTGTGTATGTGAGTGTGTGCGAGCGCAGTAAGGTAGCATACACCAAACTGGCAGATATGGAAAAACCAGCACGTATCAGACACTAAACAGTGATCCAACTATACATGTTTGAGTCAAAGTCAGACCCAGTTTAAGGACATATGGTCGAGCACCAAGAAAAAACCTGGGTGTTCTTTCTGTGGTTAGCAGTGTGTTACCTGAATAAACAGCTTAATAAACAGCTGTGCTGCACTAGTAGAGAAGCAAATGGCACATCCTCGATCAGGTAGGAGTGTCAGTATGTTAGTATAGGTACACTTTAAGAGTAGGCCGACACTTCTAAAATGCAAACATCTCTCCCAAAACCGTATCAAGCTAAATTTGCATATTCTGGCTCCGATAGTCTAAGCCACAAACACATATTGACTATTTTTAGAAGCTAGAAATGCTATTGACCTAGTCTTTAGTATGACTCTGTTAGCAAAACCTACGATTCAAGTTGAATTTGTGAAACAAACAAACAAACGAAAAAGAACAGCATATATTTAGACACTGGAAATTGTGAAGACAAATAACAATGATTGATTATGATTAATGTCTTCATAGAAACATGTGAGGTAGTTTGGCAGAAATGCACAATAATTAACATAACTTTAAAGAATGTGGGACATTACTGTTTTTATAGAACGATATCTCTCAACCAATTGACAGGAAAGATGCAAAAGCCACTGCGACCGCGCCACGCCACCGCGTCACGTGACAGTCTGCTGAGCCAATCTACGCATGCGCACACACTGACTGCAGGGATATGACAGTAATGATGCGGACTACACCGAGGTTACTGGCGGTCATTGACATTCTTTCCTTAACCACGCACTGCTGTTGACCTGTTAAGCTTTCATGCAGAGCAAACAATAAGCGGAACTGATAAATAATTTAACATTCACTAAAAAGTTATCGTTACGTTTAGTTACGTTGAATATAAAAAAGTGTAAGCTTTTAAAATGTCTACTTATAAAACATTTTGGGATGTGTGAATAGCATGTTCTCTTGATTATATTTTGCGTTAAATATTAAAATGTACTTGAAGCGTTTGTCTTTTGTTTGTGTTAAGTCAAACTCGAGCCACTTGACCAAACGTAATTATAGTTGTTGTCTGCACAAATGTCAATTTAAATTAATTTAATAATTCTTTGGATATGTTGTTGCACCTTTTGAAGGATAGTACATGGCGCAACAATATTTAACCATAGTATTATACTGCCTCCACGTGGTCGGATTCTGAAACACAACATCAACGCCCCGAAATCAAAGCACAAATATCAGACCCGAGAAAACTTAACGCAAGTGGAGGTTTGATATATTAAATAACAAATACAGATAGATCAAAGATCTGTTTATCAAAGTCTATAGCAATTAAAAACGTCATTTTGTAGGTCTACGTATTGATCTTTGTTTTTTAAATATCGTATATTTATATTTCTTTTTTTCAAGGTCAAATAAAGAAATAAGTAAACAAAAAAGTAATTTTATGTATGTTTTTATTCTCTAGACTTCACTAGGAATTGGATTGTATCTATATTATTATTTGTCTCAAATTATGTTGCCTGTAGAACTCACGGGGAAGAGATTTTGATGGGAGGCGCGACAGAAATTTGGATGCAGAAATGACTCAAAGATAAACATGTAAAATAGCGGGTGACAGTCCAAAGAAAGACGAGAAAAGCTACTTGTGAAATTTAACGAAAATAAATTATTTCACACAATTTTCTTAGCCGAGGGCGTCCTCTGGTGGCTAATTCTATACATACGTCTAAATGTAGACGAGAAGAGGGCGAGGCTCTTCGTTTTGCGCCTCCTATGTCGTGACGTAGACATTCTAGGATAGCAACAGTTGCCTCGAGACCCCGTTGCGCCATAGTGACTGTAGCCGTGGAGACAGTTACTTACCAACGGGCGCAACACTGATCCACAGCAGCAACAGAAGCAGCAGCAGCAGCAGCATCTGGACGAACGGAAAAGCTGAACCGGGGTACAACTTTTCTCCACACACAGGTGACTATCTCTGCAGTTGTCTGTACAAACTTAATTGTCTCGAAAATGCTCCACCTTTACATTTTGTTTTACACAACACAACTTTCCCATGCTTGTGTGGTCTCCGCCCCAAGTTAAGAGTCGATGTCCACTCTTTACTTAAAGGGACGCTCACCTAAACTGTTGGGGAGACGTTTCTCCTACACCTTGAAGTTAACATGGGAGGCGTATTTTCCTGTTTTGTTGTCTAATTCGTCTAGTATTTTTTTGTGTGCAGTGCTTTAGTCACACTAGTCAACACTTGTTGCTGCGGTTTTCAGCAGCGCACTATCGTAAAGCGTGAACGCACTTTGAACGCTAGGTGGATGGTCACTGGTTCCGTAACCGGAGGAGCTAGAGCTAATGCTAACTTACAGTAGCGACAGAGAGCGAAACCCCCGGGAGAAAATGTTTTCTTAGCCTTTTTTTACGTTTATAGTCTGGTCCGTCTCAACACGGACAAACTTCTCTCCCTGTTGGAGCTGCAATCAAACAGGTGGAGATAGTGTTTGTTACTGTTAGCAACAATAACTTAGAGGTTCAAAGTGGAACTAACGGCTGCTGAGTGACTACAGGGACGAGAGCGTTCTCAACTTTCAATGCAGAGCGGTGCTCGCCACTACTTTATGTTTCATGTGTGGTATTACAGCCGTTGACACTCGACGGATACTTCTATTATATAATTAAAAACGTTCATTTTGTCTTGTACTTTTTTAAAACTGTTGTATGACTATCAGTATATACTATGACAGTTTAAACCAGCTAATTGGTTCGTAATTGTTTGGTAAATCGATAGCAAGGCAACGATGACAAATATTTGTTAAGTTTTTCTGCATGTTAGCATGGAATGGCAAAAACATATTAACTTTTATACGGTGCTTTCAAAGAACTGTATTAACTTTTTAAGTTTCATCCATTGAAAGTCTTAATTGTCTCTCTTAACTCTGTGTGAGTGTTTTTACATGCGCCTAATGAGGGCAATCTAATTAATTGTGTGTTATTGTCGTAGAGTTTTACATTTGTGGTTTGCATACATAATCAGGACACAAGTGAGGATTTATGAAGAACATTACTCATGTTGAACATTACTTAGCTAAAACACTAGTATTTTTTAAATTACTGCTGGTAGTTATTTTTTACACAATACTGGATGCATTCCATATTTCACCGTATTGTACCAGCAAACTCACTTCATTTAGTTTTATCAACACTAAGCACATAATCTTGTTAGAGATCTATTCATGGGGAGTTGAGTTTGACTTATCCGTTGTACTGATCAGCAAAAATGCATTGAGGCATGCACAGTGTAGTCCTCTCACAGACCATATATAGGAAATGAGAATATCCTTGTGGTTGAAATAATCTTTCAAAAGACACACAATAAATAGCAGCAAACCATCAGGGGACTATGCTGATACAAAAAGTGAATGTAAAAGACTTAAAGAGACAGAAGACAGAAGGACTACATTCTTACAACACTGAACATCACCATAAGTTGTTGATCTAATGTTTTAAACATGTTAAAAACACAGACACCATACACCATAGCTGTCTTGTGTACTCTGGTTTGATATTGATACTGAGTTTCTTTTTAGCTTATCTCATGTGGCCTTAGCCGGTTTGTCAAAATACTCCTGTTTAGCTGAAATATCTGATGTTTGCACCAGTTTCTATGGTTGATATAGCTGTCAAGATCAAGTCTCTGCTGATGATGTCAGACATTTCCAGGGGTGTTGAAAGAATGAATAAATATGGTGCACTTATAACGCTTCTGGTGATTTGTATATTCCTCAAATCTATGTAGTCATTAGAATACACATCTACCTTTACATTTACCCGTTGATCCCCCTTTTTTTAGTATTTGTTGACAAGACCTGAAACTAATTGTAATCAAAAGCAGCTAAGTACTTGCTTTTTCTTTTTCACACTGCAGGTCTCATAGGGTTTAGTGTCTCACCTCACTGCATCGTTGAAGGCTCATATCAATCTAGGCTGAAGTAATAATGAGAAACCAAGGGAAAGTAGTGCAACCACCCCCCTCAATTTACAGTCCTGCCTTTCATTAGTTTTCTTGGGTGGCTCTGACTGATTTCGAGCCCTTTGCATACTTCTTCCCCTTCAGGGATTCCAAATTTCTGCCCCCTGAGATACATCAACTCTAATGAACAATTTTTTCCGAGACAGCTGTCATATGCTCGGTCAATTGAAAATGTTTGCTATTAAAGCATGAGTAGGAATCTTTGCAGTATGTTATAAATTAAATTAGAAATGGGAGATAAGCAAACTGCAAAAACTTTTGTTTGCATAATTATGTGTATAAAAGCAAAAAACTACTGTATGTGGAAGGAAGTTGTTATTAATGCATTGAATTCAGTGTTTTTATTGAAGCTTCCCAGACATCTCCGCCCATTTTTACACATACTTGGTGAGAATATTTGGATGTGCATAGATGTGACTAATAGACCTGACTTGTGAAGTTTTTGAAAAAAATAAAAATTGGTTGATATTCCTGGTCTGCAGTGAAAGTGTAGAGATGACTGCACTGAATCGCTGTGTGTAACCCCCTCCAATCCCACCTCCCAATTCTGAGCATGACGCTGTTATGTTTACATGGCAACTTGATATACAAATACACCCAAGTCATGGAAAGAAAAAATGATGGAGTGGGCCAATGGGGGTGAAGTGTTATTCTTTTAAAAAGTCTTGTTTTTAATCAGGTTATTTTCATCTTCCACTCTGTGGTGAGAGTGAATATCTTTGGCTTGCAGAGGCAGGTCAAGAAGAATAGGTGGAGTGAAGAGCAAGTGGTAGTTTGAAAGTCCATGCTGGTCTACTGGACACATGAAAACTACAGGACACATAAAATCATATTAAGCCGGTGTGTATTATTTAACTGCCATGTCCTTTTGACTATGAGCCTGGCTATAGTCAAATCAAAGAATGAACGTTCATTTCAGCACATTTGTTCTTTGATTTATCTGTGGCTGTTATTCCTTACCACCCAAAGAGTTGCTGGTATGATTGCTTGTAGCTGTGTTATCTATGTGCCATTTTAAGTGTTAAATGGCCCTCTACTGTGTGTATTACAGCTATCAATAGGACAGCTGCAGCGGTCTCCTGGGCAGCGGGTGATCTGACACAGCTTTTGGTCACATGGGCTGAGTATGTCTGTGTGTTTGTGTGTGCCCTCTGGATGTGTCTCACTATACGTGCATTGGCCTATGCTGTATTTAGCTTTAGCCTTTCTTGATGAGACCGACTGCTTCCCCCAGGGTGAAGTTCCAAATTCAGTAGCAGGCAACCGATTTAGACATGAACATAATCACCACCTTTGTCTCTACTGTTTGCTGTAGATCATAATTCATATTGTTGCATTTAGTTCCAGCTGTGCATGTCATTGTTTGCTGTAACAGTTTTGATGGGATATTCCCCAACTCCAGTCAAGTGCGTGTCAGGAAATCACATAGCAAAGCAGAAGTGAGAGGCAAAAGGCCCCATGAGACTTGTTAAGTGGAATTTAATCTTGCCATTTCTACACATGGATGTGTCACTTCTATAATTCATAAGTCATTTAATTACTTTTTAGTAGTTTTTCATATTGAGTTCTACATGTTTGCATTTGTGGTAGAACCTGTTCTAAGAAAACAGATGAATTGTGTCTTGTGTCTCTCAAATCATGTCTTTCAGCTGTAAAGATTTGGGAAAATCATTGTACACTTGTGTTGCTAGGCTACTAAGAAACAAATCTTGTCTCTTACCAGGATGTCTTGCCTTTGATTGACTCATGCGCATGGCAACAAGTTGAAACTTGAAATGAAAATGCTTTTCATTTTGTCTCTTGTGTGTGTGTGTCTGTGTGTTTATGTGTGTGTCATTGGAGCATTCCTAAAATTCCACCTGTTTATATCATGGCTACACAACTGCTAATTAAATTCCCTGCCAAAAACTGCAGGCAAGGTAGTGACATTTGCATTATAATAATGGAACCCCGCCCTCCATCTCTATTTCAGGAAATAATAGTAGCAACCCC